ACGCTGCTACAAACTGGGTGAAGGACCCGAAGAAGCATCTCTCTAGAGAAGAGACCAAGTGGCCCACAGGTTATGAAAAGGTGCTGGCCAACACTAGTTGTCAGGGAAATGCAAATCAAAACCACAGAGCTGTCACCTCACACCTGTTTGAATGGCTGCTCCTAAAATAACAAAAGACACCAAGGTTGGCCAGGGTGCAGACAAAAGGGGAGCCTTGTGCAGGCTGGGCGGGATGGAAATTCATGCAGCCATATGGAAAACAGGAGGGAGGTTCCTCAGACACTGAACCAGAACCCCTCCTGGGTGCAGATCCAAAGGAACTGAAACTGGCAGGTTGGAGGGACACCTGCTCTCCAGGGGGCACCCAGCAGACTGCAGAGGGACAGATAAGGAAAGCAGGCACAGCACACGAGGTGCCATCCTTCAAGACATGGATGGACCTGAGGACACCACACTAAGGGAAAAAGCAGGCACAGAAGGACAATGCCATTTGGTCCCACCTATGTGCGGAACCTGAAGCCAGTGCGTTCAGAAGCACAGGTGGTGCTTACAGGGCCTGGGGAGGGCAGGTGAGGGTCAGAGGGACGGGGCTTGGGCTGTGCAGACCGCGGGGGCCGCAGCACTTCCTCTTTGCTAGGAGGGCCTTGCACTGTGCCCTCCCACACTCACAAATCACCATGGTGGCAGTGGCAGGGTAGGAGGAAGTTGTGAGGAAGGGTTTGTCCCTGGGAGTCAGGAGGTGGGGCTGCACGGGAACATACTCATGCCAACTCATCAAGTTGTACATTCTAGCTGGGCTGGGTTGGGGCTCAGTGGTAGAGCACTTGCCTATCATGTGTGAGGCACTGGGTTCGATTCTCAGCACCACATATAAATAAATGAATAAAATAAAGGTCCATCAACATCTAAAAATATATAAAAAAAAAAAGTTGTACACATTAAACACATTGATCTTTTCCTATGTCAACTGTACAAAAACATGGTTTAATAAAATAGATTTCAGCCAGGCACAGTAGAGTACATCTGTAATCCCAGTGGCTCAGGAGGCTGAGCCTCAAGAACTTAGGCCCAATGCAACTCAGTGAGACCCTGTCTTTAAATAAAATTAAAAAGGGCGGGGCTGGGGATGTGACTTAGTGGTCAAGCGCTCCTGGGTTCAATTTCCAGCACCCAAAAAACTAATTAATACATAAAGCAGACCACAGTCCTAGCTTACAACCAAATAAAAGAGGAACCCAGAGTCCACCTGAGGACAGCAGAGAGGGATGCCTTTGGCTGCAGAATGCGAACAAGCTCTAAAGGAGTGGATGCGCTCGTCCAGCCCACACAGGTCAGCAAGAGCCCAGGGAGAACGGTGAGGGCAGCTAGTGAGGAACAGGCTCAGCCTGGGTCTTGCAGACGGCAAAGACAGCCTCCCGTCCTGGGATTCCCAAGCCAGGTCACAGCAGCCCTGGGCTGGGGCTCCCTGTTCTGAAAGCTGCCTGTAGCCAAGTTGAGATCCTCACACAGAACCTTGAGGGCCCCACGGCACCTACCGGCTGGCAGTGTTCTTGCCGAGACGCCAGCAGGGTCAGCTGGGAAATGGCTCCTCCAGCTCCACCTAGCTTCAGAGGGCAGCAGGCCTGAGTGACCTGAACACATCCTTGAGACCCTGACTCAGAACCAGAGATGCCTGCCAAGCGACCCAGCAGCCAGGTGCCTGATGTGGGGCAAGGTCAGGGCGCTCCCTCGCACTGGTTACCAGTTCCAAGGGGACAGGCAGTAAGCATTCCATGGAGAGCCCTGGAAGATAGTCCCCTGGAAGACAGATTTTATGCACATACTTTAACACATTAAAGCTTGTTTCTAGTACTCCTAAGGATGAAATCCCCCAAACACAGCTTCCTTTTAATTCCACACACTTTAACAGTTGACCAAGGCCGATGTAACAGGAGGGGTAAACTGAGACGCACTGAGGTGCAGCGGGAAGGGCGTCCAGCCCACCAGGAAAGGCAGGAAAGCCCAAGGGAGGTACTTGGCCTTCTATCCACAGCACTGAGTTGGTGACTATTCTGGCTACAGAAGCGAAAGCTCTTGTTCTTAGGAAATACACACAGAAGCACTTGGGGTGAAAGGATGTGAAAACAGAACTCCCAAGTGATTCAGGAAAAAAACAAACCAAAAAAACCGCACAAAACCAAAACAACACATTACCCCTGAACCTACTCGCCTTCCTCCCGAGAGGATAAGGAACGTGTCCTGGGACCTACTGACCAGGTGTGTGCTGGCATCTTCTGTTTCGCCGAGTCTGAACTCTCCTCTGGCCCCTTCAAGAGCCCCGCCCTGCCACAGGACCCACAGCACCCCACCCGCGGTGCAGCCCTCCACACTGAGGCCAGCGACTGGCCTCCCCTCCTGCTCCCTCACCTGCCAACTCGGGAGTGGAAAGAGTCGGCAGCCAGCTGACCGGGCTGAAGGACACCCAGCCTTAAGGTAGGTAGCCATCTGCAGCTCAGCCGGGCCCACCCCACTTCACAAGGGGAAGAGGCCATCTGAATTGGTTTGCTGAATTATTTTTGTGAAAGAACATTAGAATATTTTACATCTGTTGAGAATGAGTTCTAAATTACAAATGCTTTAAAAATAAAAACTATTTTAAATTTACAGCAAGGTTACAAGAATATATTTCAACTATATAAACTTCACCCCATCCTCCAGCAGTTACTATTTTCTCATTTGCTTTCTCTGAGGATGGGATGAAGAATGAATTTTTCTCAACCACACAGCTAGGCAGACTTCTTTAAAAAAAAAAAATACTTATTTTAAAATTATAGGTGGATACAATCTTTATTTTTATGTGGTGCTGAGGATTGAACCAGTGCCTCACACATGGTAGGTAAGCCCTCTACCTCTGACTTCTTAAAAACGGAAAGATAGAGACCTTAGTACACCAGCAAAGCTCTTCTCTCAAAATAAACGTCTATATACACTCTGCAGAGGAGAAAAAATAGATTTTATGTACATACTTTAACACATTAAAGCTTGTTTTTAGTACCCCTAAGGATGAAATCCCCAAAACATAGCTTCCTAAGAAATCCACAAATACATAGCTACACCAAGCACCGACTGTCCGAGTGCCTTGCAGTACTTTTCCAATGTAGCTGTCACTGTAATACATTTTCAAACCTACATATTTTAAAGTAATTCTGAATTTATAGTAGCTTTTGGTCAGGGTGTATTTACTATTTACACTGAAGTACAATTACTGTCACGTGTAACCATATTATGTTGTTAGAAAGTACACATATTGTGGGCAATCTCCCATATAATGCAAAAGTCAGGCAGAGAGAAAAGTCACCAAGAGTCTACGATACAGGAAGAGGCAGTTTTGCTTTGATAATAAAAGACAATATAGAAGCACGATTGTTGACAGAAGTTTGTCTTCCCTACTGCCAGAGCTCTCTGGTCCCTCTGACGGCTCTAGGAGTAGCCCTGGTCAGCCCAGCTCCACTCCTGACCCCACGGCCGGCCCCAGTGGCACGGAGGGGGCACACCCTGACCCACCTAAGCCAAGACGAGGCCTTTTTTGTTCAAAGCCCTGCACAAAGTGAAGGCTTCACTAACATGTCAACAGCTGTGGCCCTCTTCCTTTGTTACCTAAATTTGCGACCTGGTAGAAGGCACAGGGTTTTAATTAGGCCTCTGGCCAAAGGCTGGTTTCTGGATTGGGGCGGAGGCAGTGGAAGGACAGGAGGCCTGCGCAGCGTGAGCTCCGACCCCAGCATTGGGGTTCTCCAGGCTGCCCGCTCACTGCCGAGCTGAGACCTTCAGGGCAGGGACATACATGGAGACTTGAGACCTCGCACGGCGACCCTGGAACGCTGACCGCGACAGGAACACCCACACCAGACAAGAGTGCTCTGCACAGGAGCCCGTGACCACCTGCCCAGATGACGGCACTCTTGCTGGGAAACAGGTTCTGACCCACGACGTCTACACTCACCCCAGTGGCTTTCTCAACAGCTGAAGATGAGGCCGGCCAAGCCTGCAGCATTTGAAAGGAGCAACTGTGAAACAATCCACACCTGTGCAGGCAGAGGACACTTCTCTTTCCCCAGATTCCCAAAGTTTCCTGCACTTGGTGAAGGGGACTGGACATGCCCTGTCAACTCCCTGCATGCGGTAACTGTTTAATTCGTATCCACATCTCCTAGGACCCAGGAGCAACAGCAAGCAGCACCCACCAAGTATCCAACAGCTACTTGATGACTTTGGAGTTATTTAACAAAATACCGCAGCGATGCAGAACTAAAGAGTGGAGAGAGACATAAAACTGTGCAGAGTGTCCTCTCTGGTGTCAACACGTCAGGTGAGCAGCAATGGAAACCCACCCACACCACATTACACAAGGACACTCACGGTCTGGACATCAACCAACTTTTCAAAACCCAACTGTATTCACTGAGCAGGACACGCCTTGGAGATCCTGAGGACACATCAGAATAATCAACTAGACCTCAATGAACTTTTAGCCAAAAAAAAAAACAAACCAGAAATGTATCATTTATAATCACTGCACCCTCTAGTGGCCTATTTTTATCTATTAAAAATTAAGACAACCTGTAATCCCAGCAATGTGGGAGGCTGAGCAGATGGATCACAAGTTCAATGCTAACCTCAGCAACTTGTAAGACCTGTCTCAAAATAAAAAAATAAAAAGGGTTACAGATATGGCTGAATCCAGGTGGAGTGCCCCTGGGTTCAATCACCAGCATTAAAAAAAACAAAACCAAAACACCACACCAGTCTCGCTGCACAGGGTGCACAGTTCAGAGCCTGCCCCTCCCTGCCTTTTCCTGCCACCCCTAATGCATCATCTGAAAGTTACTAAAAACACAAACAGGGCTGGGTTGTGCTCAGCGGTAGAGCACTTGCCTAGCACATGTGAGGCCCTGGGTTCGATCCTCAGCACAATATTAAAAAAATAATAAAGTTATAAAAAACACCAACACGATACAATCTTGGATTAAAAAAATAATCTCAATAAATAATATTTACAATGTGACAGACTGTGACATTAGCCCTCCCCCTCTTCACTGAGCAGGACAGGCCTTGGAGATCCTGAGGACACCTGTGGGTCAGACATGCCTACATTCTTAGGGCGGCTTTGCCCTGCAGAGACCGCGTGGCAAGGCTGGCCCTCTCTCTCAGCACGCTGGCTTCCTCGGGACTCTGGTGGGCCTGCACGTTCTTCAGTAAGAAGTGGCCAATGAAAAGCTTCAGACCCTCTCGCAACATCCCCAGCTTTGGGTTCTCAGACACTCTGGAAAAGAATCAGACAGACGCGTGTCAGGACAGATCTCAAGGCAGGTACCCAGGAGGCAGTCGTAACCTAGTTCTGCTCCCTGTGGTGCTGGGAAGGAACCAGGGCCTCTTACACGCACAAAACCATCTCCCACTGAGCTAAACCCCCAGGCCTTCTGTTCCCTTTTCTTTCTTTTTTTTTTTTTTTTAGAGAGAGAGAGAGAGAGAATTTTTTAATATTTATTTTTTAGTTCTCGGCGGACACAACATCTTGGTTTGTATGTGGTACTGAGGATCGAACCCGGGCCGCACGCATGCCAGGAGAGCGCGCTACCGCTTGAGCCACATACCCAGCCCGTTATTTCTGTTTTTGAGGCAGGGTCTTCTACGTTGCTCAGGCTGGCCTCAAAACTCCTAGGCCCCAGGGATCGTCCTGCCTCCCAAGAAGCTGAACCCACAGATGTACATCGCTGTGCCTGACTCTATGTAAAGCAGAATTTTCAACGAAGAACTTCAGGGCAGGAGGTGGCTCAGTGTTAGAACTGCATGCCCAGCACACACAAGGCCCTGGGCAGGAGCCCAGCACTGCGAAAACAACAAGCACTCTTAGATATCAGCTTAACATTAAGACTGACATGACTTATGTAGCTACATGTGAAGCACAATGCTGCTTCTGTAAACCAACCGGAATGAAAACATCTTTCTGCCCCTATCTCATGTTTAATGAAACACCTGGACACATACCTTGCAAAAATTAAACCCAGGTCTTCAACTTCTGTTTCCATTAACAGCATAGTCAACACTCTCCGTAGGAAATGGACTCTGGGTTTGTCCAATTCGCTGAACTCAACCACCTACAGTCAGGAGACAGAAAAAAGTGACACTAGCTTAGCCAACTCTCCAGTGATCTCTAAAGAGTGCTAATGAGAAGGCATTTTTTTTTTTTTTATTTAATTATTTATTTATTTGGTGGACACAACATCTTTGTTTGTATGTGGTGCTGAGGATCGAACCTGGGCCACACGCATGCCAGGCGAGCGCACTACCGCTTGAGCCACATCCCCAGCCCCATGAGAAGGCATTTGACCCTTCCTCACTGCCCACACATCCTGGTTTAAGAAGGTCTTTTAACTGCTAAAAATGAACAGCTGCTAGTAAGGAGGAGGTGCCATGGGGACCCTGCAGAGCTGGCAGGGGTGGCTGGTCAACCTGGCAGCACAACACAGCTTAGGGGGCCTGTACTTCACAAGCCAGGAATGTAGTTTCTAGAACAGAAGCCTACTCTTGAGTGTGTTCTACCAGGTACAAGAGGCTGGACACTGCAGCTTCTGCTTTATGGCTGTCTATGTGGCATTCTGGTAGAGTCTGGACCACCCCTATCAACACCTCTCTGTGTAGAGCTTAGGTCTAGGAAAGATGAACTCAGATATGCTTCCATCTTAGAAAACTATTAAAAACCCCAGAAATAATTTTAATATTCAGCAGTGTAGCAAATAAATGTACTAGACTTATACAGTGGAAGTAATAAGATAACACAGAAGATCAGAGAAGAGAATTACAGATATTAACATATATAAATTGCAAACTTAATTTTAAAAAAGAACTGTGGAAAGTCACAAGAGCAAGATGACCACACAGTTCTGCCCAAACAGAGAGTAGATTATGTACTGGCTGAAGATGCACAGCACAGGGAGTACAAAACCACGCCAGGGAGAGATTCTGATCAAAGAGGGCCCCTCAGCCAGGTGCAGTGGCACATGCCTGTAATCCCGGTGATATCAGAGGCTGAAGCAGGAGGATTGTAAGTTTGAGGCCAGCTTCCACAACTTAGCCAGACCCTGTCTCAAATAAAAAATAAAAAGAGCTGGGGAGTAGTTCAGCGGTAGAATACCCCGGGTTCCAGTCCAGTATCAAAATAGAAAACAAACAAAAAGAACACCAGTGGGGAGAGTGGAGGGCAGGGCTGGGAGCCAGGGAGAACCCAAGTTCTACTGCCCACGAGTGAGCTTCCATTGTTCCTGTTCACCCGGGGCCACACCGACCCATTCTACACTGAGCCCGACTTGAGTAGGGAAGCATAGATTTAGCTCAACGATGAGAAGATGTTATCTTACGTGTTCTAAATTACTCCAGTTCTCGGAATGGGGTGTGAAGACTGTACCCACACTTTCAGTGCAGTGGGAAACCCCACATCCCACACCCTATGAGAGGCAGGCAGTCATGGGCAGATGCTCTGACCACGGTGGGGAGCACACTCACGTACGCAGGGCACAGAGAAGGACTTGTCTCTGCACTTCACCCAGCCCTGACCCTCAGGCTCTTCAAATGCTCAGAATTTTTTAGGGCACCCACACCCTGGTGGCTCCACTACCCAAGCTTACTGGCCCACCTCAAATCCTGCCTTCTACAGGTAGGTCCACCATCTCCTCCAGAGGAACATCGGGCATCTATGTTTTTATGGCTCTGAAGTCTCAAACAGAGAGTAGGGAGTCTGTAGCTTTCAAACACCCTATTTTGCAGACCGAGTACCAGGCCTCTATGGGGCGCCAGTCTACTGAGCACTGACCGGTCCAGGACTTTAAGATTAATCTCAAACCCAGAACAGATTTACTTAAGCTAGCAAGAAAACTGGAGCCGAGCACTGTGTTCTAGGTACATTTAAACTGTGTGTACAGTGGTCACAACAATGAGACACTCTCCAGAATCTTGGAAAACTCCTGCTTTACAAGTACAAAAAATAAGCAACTACACAGTGATTTTTTAATTGCTTACAAACCTTCAAAATGGAAAGCGGAAGCGATTTTGTCTTCAACAAGTGTGCCACCAGATGAACCAAATTCAAGAAATTAGTGGCTGGCAAATTTTCTAAGTCCCGAAATTTATCCCATATGCTGAACTGGAAAGTCATCTAGTAACAGTTAATAAAAAGAAAAAAATTAAAATTCAACAATCAGTAGACTAAACCACTAAGATGCTCTCATTCACTTATTTTTAATATTCTGAAACTCAGGACTTTCAGGAGCAACTACACTGTCCTTTCAAATGGTCAGGAGCTTGAAACAGTTTTACAGTCATCTTTTAGTTGTGGTTCTCCCCTGCATTTATGAGGCACTGGGTTGGATCCCCGGCACTACCAAACCCTACCCCACCCCACCCCAGCAGATAAGCACTTTGAAGAAAGCTCTTGACAACTGACATCAAGAGACTGGTGTGGTGTAAGCAACACCCAGCCTCCTAGTGCAGATGGTCCCTCTACCCAGTACTCTGGCTCCAAGAACTCATGTTTAGAATGTAAGCCGGACAGAATGCCGAGGACAAGCGTCAGGACACAGGTAACTGGCAGCCTTCTAACCAAGTTACCTGGAATCGCCTTTCATAGCTGCAGAACTTGCTGGCCAAGAACGCATAGAAGGGATTGTATGTCTTCTCCTGCAAGCAGCAGTCCATGAGCACGTGGACCACCTCTCTCTCCTGCTGATCCTTCAGTCCCAGCCTGCAGCACAGAAACAGTCCAGCTAAGTCAGCACTCCACTTCCCACTTCCACAGCCAAAGAGCCCACAGGTCCTTCCTGTCTGGAAGAGTGTGGTTAAAAGTGAGCCAGGAGGCGGGTGGCAGCAACCAGACACAAGCCAGAGGTCTGGCTCTCCCCAGTTTCTTTGGGCCTCATTTTTCTAGTGATGTGGCAAAGTGTGGGAGGACACATCAGGACTCGAGTTCTACCCGACCAAAAAGCCCAGGACCCAATCCAACTGACACAGGCAGGACTCAAATGAAGCCAGGTCTTGCTAAGACAATGATTTCACTTTTTCTTTCTTTCTTTTTTTTGGTACCAGGGACTGAACTCAGGGGCACTCAACCACTGAGCCATACCCCCAGCTTATTTACAGACAGGATCTGTGTTGCTTAGCACCTCAAAGTTGCTAAAGCTGGCTTTGAACTCGCGATCCTCCTGTCTCAGCCTCCGGAGCCACTGGGATTAATTTAGGGGTGCGCCACTGTGCCCGGCTCACTTTTTCATTTTTAAAATTCACAGTAAACTCCACGCTCTTCAGTGTACAGTCCTGTGGGTGCAGCTGTATAAGCCCCCAGAGTCAGGTAACTGCAACCACACTGGAAAAAGAACTCCATCGCCCCCACAACCCCCACACGCCTGTGCAGACAGCCATTCCCCAAGCTGCGGGCTACCACCAATCTTTTTTCCAGTCCTCTAGTTCTGACTCTGCCAGAATGCCACACAAACAGCCACAAAGCAGAAACTGCGGGTGTCCAGCCTCTTGAACCTGGCAGAACATACTTAAGAGTCACCCATGCAGCTGTGGGACTGGTACTTCACCCTCTGTAATAGTGAACTGTAAGGATCCCACCCACTGCAGCAAGGACCCCTGGTTTGTTCACCCTTTCCCCAGAGGGGCATGTGGGTTTTTTGGTAGTGGGGATGGAACCCAGGCTTCATGTACACTAGGCCACTGAGCCTCAACCCCAGGTCAGCCAATGACTGTGATGAATAAAAAATGGGGAAAAAACTCATTGTTAGATGAAGACTGACTAGGAAACACAGAGGTACGCTCAGGGTTCCCACACTGACAAGGCACCCCAGTTTACAAAACCCCAACTATCAGAATACTAAAATGAGCCATTTCTCCCTGTACTGCATTATGAGTTTGAAGCAAATAAAGAAAAATGAGTTAAACTGTTCATTTAATTGTTATCTGATAACTAAGTACTTTGCATAAAGTATGCAAATGTTTTAAAAACCTGCTACAACAAATTATTACAGAACCATACTGGGACATTTTAAATAAGAAGCAAGAGGCAGCTTCAACATGAAGGCTCATATACTTTAAGCAATCCATGACAACCAACAGCCGCTGAAGACAGTGGCTGGCTACCAGATACTGGCTATGAAGCCCTCAAATTGCAGCCTCCTACAGGGCTCTGCTGAGGATCTACCAGGGCACACTAGTAGGAATGGGTATCTTGCCAGAGACATGTGGCCCACCCAAGTGACAGGACAGTAACAAAATTCCAGTTTTTCAGTCCTCCAAACACAAACCCCAGATCAAATTACTTCTTTCACAACTTCTAACTTGACAGGTCAAAACATACAAACAAATGCTTACTTGAGCAGCTTTTCAAAAGCATCCAAAAAATCCTCACTCGTCATCATCGTACAGAAGATGTTCCTCCTAATGTCAGTGTTCATTCTCTGCTTCCGAGCAAGATCCAACATCTTTGAGCTTATCTGAAAAAGGAAGGATTAGTGTGTGGGCCATACAAATGTCTTGAGAGCTGTTTCCTGAGAAATACCATGCCACCTTTGGTTGAGTGTACTCCTAAAGTTTCTAAAGAACAACTTGTACAATTTTGTGGCTTCAGCTCAGTATAACTAAATTGCACGTGAATACCTGTAGGTAAATTCCAAATCTTTATTTATGGGTCACCACAAAGGGAAAATGTGGCAGGAGAAAAAGCCACTGGAGGAGAGAAGCACTGGATTTGGGAACTCTCAGGAGGGTGGGACATCAGCCTGAGTATCTCAGATCAAGTTCAGATATGGGAATCATGGTCATCAGGTGTGCCAAGGGCCCAGGGCAGGAAAGGACACTGTGGACAAGGAAGGAGATCTGGATCAAGTACAGATGCTAGTAAATAATTCTTTTCCACTTTTTTTTTTTTTTTTGGGGGGGGGGGGGGGGGGGGTACCAGGGTTTGACCTCGGGGGCACTTGACCACTGATCCACATCCCAGCCCTATTTTGTACTTTATTAGAGACAGGATCTCACTGAGTTGCTTAGCACTTCACTAAATTGCTGAGGCTGGCTTTGAACTCGCCATCCTCCTGCCTCTGCCTCCCGAGCAGTTGGGATTACAGGTGTGTGCACCACACCCAGCTCGGACTCTAGCTAATAATGATAAATACAAATAAGTGGGAAGAAGTTTCATCCATGCTAATGGACTGGAACATACATCTCCTAGGATACAGAACACATCTCACTCTCAAGAATGGGTATCTGCAAAGTCAGTCTTGATTTTCACACACTCCCTTCAACTCTTAGATCTTTTGCAGAATGCGTTTTGGGATTCTTAAAATCCTTAAAAAAGAAACAACAAAAACTGAATTATATGTTTGTTTTGTTTTCTGGAGCCAGGACCTTGCTATGTTGCCTAGGCTGGTTCAAGTGTTCTTCCCACCTCAGCTTCCACGTAGCTGGGACTACAGGCATGTGCCACATGCCTGGATTTAAATCATACCTTAACACTGGCAATTTTCATAAGGTTTTCAAATAAACCTAAGTGGCACACTTCCATAGCCATTCAGGAATAATTAGAACTACTCTAGCAGAGCTGGCAGTCGGCACAACAGGGTGCCCACAGTCAAGCACTGGGTCTCCATACCGTGCCCGTAGGTGGCTTCTGCTGAAGTGCATGATGACTGTTGTCAATCATCGGAGTCCCGCTCCAAGCAGACCCCACAATCCACCAGCGCCCAGTTTGTTCTGCATTCAAAAGACCATCCCAAGAGATGCGAAGCTGAGTCTCAGAACCTGAGCTGGCACTACGCACCTGATTAGAGAAAAAGGTTTAATGAGATGCTTTAATTGGTTCATAGTCTGTACTGTGATCACACTTTCTTTCTTTTTTTTGTACCAGGATTGAACCCAGGGGTGCTAAACCATTGAGCCACATCCCCAGCTCCTTTTTATGTTTTATTTAGAGACAGGATCTTGCTGAGTTGTTTAGGCCCTCTCTAAGTTGCTGAGAGTGGTTTTGAACTCGAGATCCTCCTGTCTCAGCCTCTTGAGCCACTGTGATTACAGGCGTGCACCACTGTGCCTGGCTCACTTTCATTTGATAATGGAATTTTTGGTGCATGAACATTGCAATGAGTCTCTGGCAACTGGGACAGTTAGTCTGTTTAGAATAATGCCAAAACAAGCAGTCAACTCATGGTATTCTGTGTGAGGTCTGTGGGTCTGCCACCCAAGTAACGCCTCTTAGGCACAGTCGTGACAACAGGCTCCTACTGCACAGCAAGCTGAGCACCTTGGGAGGACCAGCTACAGGGGCTGTGCAGGAGGGCGCGGGCCACTCACAGGGCAGCTTCTGTCTTCTCTCAGGCCCCAACTCACAGGTCCCGCTCCCTCTCCCAATGAGGCCCTGCTGCCCTGAGGCTCGGGGCAAGGCAGTAGGCAGCCACTCACCAGAGCTCGCTGCACCTTCCTCAGTCTCTCCACGGGCTCGGGATCATAGCCTGGAATTTTGCGCATGTCATTGTTCTTCAAGGCCAGCATCGTCTCTAGCATAAATCGGACCTTTGAGGAAAAGGAAGGGGAGAAATAAACCCCAAACCAAAATGAAATCTCCCATCATTTCAAGCAGTTTGAACATTCCTGGACATCCCCCCCTTGCTGGATCTTCAGCCTCTCCCCGACCAACTTATCAACTGGAAACAGTAACACACTTACAGGAAAGTTACAAGCACAGCACAGAGTCTGTCTACATACCTTCCTCAAATATTAACTCTTGATACAATCTCCACATCATAAAATCAACCTCTTTAAAAGAAACAAGTAGGTGATTTCCGGTATATTCCAAGCTAGGCAACTGTGCCCGCCATCACCTTTAGAATCTGCATAATGCCCAGAAGAGGAACTCCAATCCCTCAATAGCCGCTGGCATTCCCCACCTCCCTGTCCCAGGCGGCCACCTCTGCTGTCAGCTTTTGGGCATTAGCCAGCAAGAGTGTAATCTGCACTCCCTCCCACCCCACCCACTCCCCACTTCACCCCCTGCTGCCTCTGCAGACAAGCTGCCCCGGTGCACAAAGGGCAGCTATCAGTAATGCTCCTCATCAGACTATGACCAAAATGAAAATCCAGTCCCTTTCCCTTGACCTCAACATCCCACCTAAAGAGTAAATTCTTCTCAGGACTCTGGCCTCTGTGACCCACCCCCCAGTATCCTGCCACCTTGCCCACCAGCTCTTCCTCCTCCCTGCAGCTCCACACTGCTGCCTGTAACCACAGGGATCCCTTCACCTTAGTGGGGGATCCCACATACTCCCATGGCTTCCAGGATTCCTGGCATGAGGGTGACCCCAAATCCCTCCTGGCTCACTGCCCTTCGAGATGTGGGTTTCCTCCTGCACCTCCTCCCATGCACCTGAAGGGGGGCCTCCTGCCCTTACTTCCTTCAGCCCTGCTCCCCACTAAACTTGGCTGCTTCTGACTCCCAAGGCCACATCCACTGCCAGGGTGCCCATGTCACCACCATCTCCCAGACTCCTATAGCGTCCCCCACCCAATTCCTCCAGCCACTTCCCCTCTCTTCTACACTGTCACCAAAGTGACTCCTAAAACAACTTCCACTCCCGGAGTATCTGCCGAGAACCCTCTGGGTCCTCCAGGACGAAGGCCCCAGGCCCAGCGCTCTTCTCCTCACTCCTGGTGGTGTCCCCAGGTCTAACATGGCCCCCTCCTTCCTCCCCAACAATCACGTCTTCTTCCCCTCAGGCGCTTCAGGTGCTGCTCCCCACCCCTCACGACTGCAGGGGCAAAGCTGAGAGCCCCGAGTTACAGATGGGGAAACAGAGGCCCGCAAGACTCGGCCCTGCTGCTGCACGGGGGCTAGAGAAGGCTGAAGAGAAGAGAACTACTGAGGAAGGGAAGTGTCCTATTTACCCCAGGGACTTATTGTTAAGCTCTGGTCAGTTTGTATGCTCTCAAGCACTCAGGAAGCAGGTCAAGTGGCACTCATACCCTGGTCTGGTCCTGAAACATGCTGCCTGCCCCACTGGCTTTGGCCTGGGCATCTGTGATCAGCTCCTTCAGCGACAAGGCGTCGTCTTTTCTCAATGCAAAGCCCACATTTTTCAGCATTAACAGGATCAACTCAATGTCTTTTTCGGTGAAAGTTGAAATAAGTTTCTTCAAAATGTCAAAGATGAGGAGAGACTGCACCACGTGGAAGTTGTACAGATGGGCGATGATGGTGAAAAGGTTATCACACTCTTTCCCTTCACCTCCATTTCTGTAGACGTCATCAAACTTCCTCACCACAGCCTCCAGAAAGCAAGCACCAACCTGAGCAGGACAACAGCAAGCGTGTAGTCACACGTTCTGGGGACTTCTCCTTCAACACACTGAATAAGTGCCTGCACACAGGCAGGACATAAACTCCAACAGGGCAGCCTTCAGGAACTCAAGTATGGCTGCCCCACAAGAGCACACGGTAAGCAGCTGAGCACCAACCTGTGCTGAAAGGGTCTCCACTTTAGGCCAAGTACAAAGTCGTAATTTGGGGGGCAAAGTCCATTCTGGTTCCTTGGAAAAATAAACTTGCTAAAAATGTGTTAAGACAGGTGTGGCGGCCATATCTGTCTTAGAAGACTGAAGTGAGAGAGGATCGCAAGTTCAAGGCCAGCTGAGACCCTGTCTCAAAATAAAATTTAAAAAGGGATGGGAATATGGCTCAGTGGAAGAGTGTTGCTGGGTTCAATCCCCAGTACCTGCCCCCCACAAATGTTAAAAACACAACTGTATCTCTAAAAATGCTCTACCACCTAGTAACACTCGTTCTCAGAACTGCTTATTTCAAGTTAATGTCCTCTGAATAAGCAAGCAGTGTAAGTGAACTTTAAAGAAAACAGGACATTCTCAACAGATATCAAAGGTCCCCACGGGCAAGTGCGTCATCACCAGGAGGGTGCTAGAGGAAGGACAGGAGCTCTAATGGCTCAGCTCCACTCTCAGGGCCCAGATGTGGGTGTGCTGTTCTTTGGGGTACCAGGAAGTAGGCTGACCATCACAAAGAGGGGAGAGCACAAGGCCAAGAAGTAGCAGTGGCCTGGTGAAACAGGGCAAGCTCACCAGAGAGCCATCCTCTTGTTCTTCTGGCACATTCTATTCCAGATTCCCTAAGTATGTCCTGGAGGAGGAAGGACTTCCATCCTGTCACTCTGTAAGACTGAGACCTAACTCAAAAATGGCAGCTGTCATCTTGCCATATTACTATCTTGTAACTGTTTTCTCTCAAACCCCAACTCAAGTTGAGACCAGAGGAAGCAAATGGGAGCGGGGATGTGGTGGTGATCTCCAGTGATGCTGGCGATCCACAGCAGAGATGGCCTTACCAGGGCAGCCATGCTGGGTCAGAAAGGAAGGGCTGGGTGCCAGTGATCCCTAGGAACACTGGCAGGGTGTGGCACGCCTGATCCGACACATCAGGTGTGTGTGATTTCCAGGCTTTCAATCTGGGTGACTTCTAAGCAGGTGGGGAGGAGGCTGGGAGCTGGACTCTCTGTGTGAGCTTACTACACTCTGACTGCACATGCGTGAAGGTCCGCGGGAGGAGGAGCTCCAGCAGACTGCAGGGTGCGGTGGGAAAGTAGGCGCGTCACGGCCGGGCTGCCGACTGCTCAATGCCAGAAGGGCCCAGCCACTGGCAGCAGGCAACAGAGGGTTCCCAGAAGCCAGCTCCCATAGGCTGGATGTGCCTTTTAGTTTTTAAAGGCCTGAGATAAACACATTTAACCTGTAAACTCCCAACTCAAGTCCCTTCACCAAAGATAAATCTGAAAAATATAATCTCCTGATATGACCATCATCTTATATTAAAAAACAATTAAAAAGAAATTAGGGGGCTGGGGCTGTAGCTCAGTGTCAGAGCGCTTGTCCAGCACGTGTGAGCATGTGAGGCACTGGGTTTGAGCCCCAGCACTGCACAAAAATAATTCCACTTAATGTGTTCAAAATTCATTTTTCTAGGGGCTGGGGCTGTAGCTCAGTGGTAGAGCACTTGCCTCAAATGTGTGAGACACTGGGTTTGATCCTCAGCACCACATAAAAAATAAATATATTGTGTTCATCTACAACTAAAAACATTTCATTTTTCTAAAATCAAGTTTGGTAAATTTTAACACCAAACCATATAGATCTGATTGTTTCCTTGTAAATGATTACGGGAGCAATGCAGCAGCTGACACTATGATCTTTAACACATTTTTTTTCTTCCCATGAATTTCTGTGAGGTGTTTTTTTAGTATAGCTCTGAAAGAGGTTTAATGGAACCAGCATCCTGAGCACTTGTCCTATCTGGCAGAAGTTTTAGAGACTGTCATTAGCTGAAGTACCATAATGACTTCCCCTTGGAACAAGCCACCTCATTGTCCTTCATGCTATTAGTGAAGGTGTGAATGAGAAGCAGGAGCACTAACCCCATGTTTTCACATTAAGCTGACTCCCCACGTGATCAGGGTCATGACTTTTACGTAACTCGCTGTGAAATACTGTCTATAACACAGTTTGATTATTAAGTCTGCTGAAGTACACCAGAGACATCTAGAAGGATGGGGTACGGACTAAACTAGCCACATAACAGCACTGAATTATGGTCATCATGGGGCACCAGCAAAGATGTCCAGAGCTTCCATTATGTTTTGTAATGGCAAAAAAATGGACTTTCACACTTATATGTGAACAGGAGTATGGCTCTTAGGGGGAAAAAAACACTTTAAAAAAAGAGCGATTCTCCAAGTAGCTGGTGCAGAGTTTCCACAAAATATCCCAAGACAGTTGAGCAGACTCCTGTACCAGCTGTGGGGCCTGGGCCACTTTCTTCTGCCCTCAGCTTCCCTGTGCCCAGTTGGTCATAAGGCCACCACCTTTCCAAATGTTGCCACAATGCTGCCATTGCTGGCTAAGAAAACCGTGGCTCATTAAACTTCCCAGGAAGAGCAATGAGAACTGCGGCGGCAGGGAAAGGGGAAGAGCAGAAATGCAACAAGAAAATCTCCTTCCCTGTTGTAAATGGGCTCAGCAAGCACTTAATGAGCCAGCCTCTTTCCTATGGTCGTCACATGTAGTAACTGTTGACCTACACCACGGAGGACCAAGGCCATCCCAGGTGACAGGGCCAGCGGGTGGAGAAGAGGTGGGAGCATACCTCAATTCCAACAGTGTGGTGAAGGATGCTGACCAAGAGGACATGCTCCATCATCAGCCTGCTGGGCATGGCTGCGGCAGTGACGCAGGCACCCAGGAGGGCAGCCGTCAGTGTGTCATTCATGTCCTTCCTGCTATTGGCCATGTATAGCTCCTCCAGCTGCCCACTTATGGATGCCATGTTTGGCTCACTCAACCTGCAGGAATGTAAACACACAAACACAATTAAATATAATTTTCCAGTTCAAACTCAGTTATCAATACTACCAATATATCCTATCTTATATATGCTTCTGACCCGGAAACAACTGACCCTGCTGCAATAATCCAGCATATTCTGCTGATAACCATAGAACACTATGGAGTTCTGAAATAATACAACTGTCTTTTCAGTTGAAATGTAATCAGTGAGGTATGCCACGGAGGGTCTGTGAGTCTGCAGAAACTTGGGTATCCTGATCTGACATTTCTAGGTGTAGGAACCATCCTAAGTAGTGTATCATTAGGAAAACCACCAATTCGCCCACTTCTTAGATGGCACACATGCATGGTTTCTACACTGACGAGGTTGCTCTGTCTGAATGAGTAGTAAGAGAGGACCGTGCAAGGAAGACTATTCACCACACACCTGTGCTACTACTAAAAGGGACATCACAACAGCATGCTTCAGTAAAACTTCTGGGACACCACTGACAATGTTTCAATTTCAATTAAGCAACATAGGGGAAGAGGCGGCACAAAGGACGGGCTCTATATCCTGATTGTGGCAGTGGTCACCTAAATCTTCATGTAATAAACTACACAGAACCTCTTTCTCTCAAACACACAAGCACGTAAAAACAGTGAAACATGAACAAGCTCTAGGGGTTGTTACATCAGTTCCCTGATATGTGTGTGTGGTGCTGGGGATGGAATCCAGGCCTCATGAATACTAGGTTAGCACTCTACCACTAGCTGCATTCCCAGCCCCTGGTTGCTTCTCAATGGTACTCTAGCTATAGAAAATGTAACCTTTGGGAGAAAGCAGGTGTACAGCATGCAGGAATGCCCTGTACCCTATGAATCTACCAAAAAAAAAAAAGAGCAATATACATTTAAAAGAGTGGCTGCCTTTCGAGGATTTAGAAGAGGGGCATGAGGGTCTTCTGGTGAGAGTTATGGGAGAACTGGAGGAGAGCATTAGCAGAAGAAGGACTTGAACTTGTTTCTTAAAACCACAGGCTGACTGTAGATGGTTAAGTGGTGTGGTCCCAGCTACATGGCTTCCAATTACCCTTTTAGAGTCTAAATGTCAACATAGGGGGATGAAGGACCAGCATCCTGACCAGGTGCACTCATTTCCGCAGAGGGGGGATCCCTGCCAGGCCTTCCTCCACTATTCCTGGGAGGATGTTCCCTGCCCCATTCCAGCCTCAGAGTGGCAGTAGGAGTCCCCTGCTGCCTTCAAACCCTGCAAGAACTCACCATACCAAACAGCCAGGCAACATCTCCTCAACATAAGGATGTGGTTGCCCTAAGGCAGGCACAGAAAGGATCTGAAAACAGCTACAAGTCCTGCCCATCACTTGCATGTTGTCATTCTGGGACAGTTTCCGTGTTTTAGAAACAGAGCATTGCTCCAAGGGAGAGAGCGCACCAACTCTGGAGGGTCACCTGTTAATTAGGCCTTTGACGTGTTTCTTCAGCCTTTCTAACTCCTCCTTCCTGCGCTCGTCCACTGTCTCCTGGGCTGGCCGCAGCCGAGGTGGGATGTACTTTTCGCCACTTTCACAAAGCCTCTCCTTGAAAAACGAGAATAAGATAATCGCAAAAAAGAAAAAAAAAAAGTACACTGGACAAACCTCACATTTCCCTGGCTATATGCATATTCATACACAGAACTACCGACTCCGCGCAGCTGTTTCTACTGACTTTTTAACACGCCGCGAGCGCCCTACTGCAGTGCACTGGCTCGGGGGCTGACGGCCATCCCCGGGACCCAGGGAAGTTCCGCGGTACCTGCTGGGGCGTGCCGTCCGCCCCCGAGGAGTCTGCCCTCTCTTCTCCGTCTTCTGCGAAACGGACTCTCTTCCTCCCGGCTTTCTCCCGCGCCCCGCCTTCGGGCTCTTCCCCGCTGTCCGGCTCCGGCCCCGCGGCGTCCTCCGCACTCTGCGGCTCCGAGTCGCTGTCCAGGTCACTCTCGGGGAGCGGCGCGCCCGCCTCCTCCTCCTCCTCCTCCTCCTCCTCCTCGTCGCCGCTGCTCTCGTACAGCCCGCCGGCCCCCGACCCCAGCACGCCCAGGATGTAGTCCAGCCCGTCGCGCGCGAAGCCGGGCGGCACGGCGCTGCCCTCGGCCCTCTTCCTGCGCTTGCTCAGGCCCAGGCAGCGCTCCAGCTGGCGGATCTCCCGGTCCTCCTCCTCGTTGGCCGCGAGAAGCGCCCGCTTGCGGGCGGCGGCGGCGGCGGCGGCGGGGCTGGCCTTGCCCGGGCGAGCCGGGGCCTTGGCTGGGGCTGCGGCCTCGGGGACAGCCGTGGCCATGGCCGGGGACGGCGCGGCCTTGGCGGGGGCCGAGGCCGTGGCCCTGGCGGGGGCCGAGGCCTGGGCCGGGGGCGGCGCGGGCTCCCCCGCGCTGCCCTCCTGCTTCCCCGCCGCGGCGCCCGCGGTCCTCTGCAGGCGCCGCGCTTTCCTCAGTTGCCGCTTCTCCCTCCGCAGCTCCTTGCGGCTCTTCCTGCCGCCCGGCCGGGAGCGCACCGCGGCGCCGCGCCCCTCGGCCTCTCCCCCGGAGGTGGCCCGCACGAACCCCTCCACGGCCACCCGCAGCCGCTGCAGAGCGCCCTCGCCGCCGCGCTTCCTACGAGCTACTCGCCTTCGGCCACCTCCCGAGCTGGCCGCTGTCGCGGTCACGGACGCCGCCATTTTCCGGGACGACCTCGGACCACAGCTTCCGCCGCGGCGGGACTTCCGGGCGAGAGCGAGCGCGGGGCGTGGCGGGTGTCGCCCCCTGCCGGCCCGGGGGCCCGCAGCAGCGGACACCAGAACACTGGGTTTCAAAGGAACCTGTGAATTGTGTCAGGCCACACCCTCCCCGAGCTCGCGGCAGCTGGGGGTCGCGGGGCCGTGCGTGTTCGCGGTTGCGTGTGCGCACGTGTGCCCGTGGGGAAAGGCCCCGTGCAGGTTCTCTGTATCCTAGGGAGGAGCCGCGTGCTCAGCCTTACAGCTCTGCCATTTGCTCCCTGCGCTCTGCCCTGGGGCTCCTTAAGGACTCATTTTTCCTGAGAGTAGTGTAGTCCTGCTTAAGAGGATGCGACAAATTTATTCAACGGTCCTCTGTTGGTAGTGCACTGAGATGAAATCAGTGTCCACCTGAAGCCTGTGATGTGTCCTTATTGTGGACATCGGGTCTTTCCAGATGTAGTCAAGTTTAGATGAGGGCATACTGATTTGGAGTGAGCCCTCAATCCAGGGACTGGGGGCATCTTAGAAGAAGAGGGGCATTTGGACGCCCAGGGAGCTGGCCATGTGCAGGTGGAGATGGGGCTCCTGTGTCTGCAAGCCTCATGTCTCGTCCACAGCCCAGGTGTGGCAGGCAGTGGGAGGCCAAAGTGCCAGAGACAGCCTGTGAGACAGATTTATTGGGGAGCACTTACTAGACAGCAGTGACTGCCCCAACAAGAGTTTGGTGGCAGCAGACTGAATGGCAGCACCTCAGTCCCTCGTGTTTTGTCCAAGGACACCAGCAGGATGAGTGACCCCTGTCCTCACCCAGTGCCTCCAGGTCTGCCCACTCACCACGGGGGAGGGCTGTCCTCATGGGCATCAGCTTTCTTAGTCTGCTGGTGTGACCAGCATCCCGAGGAGCAGCTGTCCTGGGCAATGCAGGAAAGTGGCTTTCTCCAGGGACACTGACCGGCCCTGGTTCCCACTGTGCAGGAGGGAAGCCAGTCCTTCAAGACTGTGTGTGTCCGACACTGCAGCCCAGGCTTGCTCCTGGTGTCCCTTAACTCGGCAGGTTTGGGGAGAAGAGAGGGGGCGTCCAGGGACATGTCTTACTGTTCCCCTTTTCTTTAGGGAGGCATGGAACAAATCCTGTCTGGGAGTCCCTAGAGGAAGCCAATCCTGCCATCCAATTTTGGATTTCTAGCCTCCAAATCTGAGAAATTTCCGTTGCTTCATACATTCAGTTTGTGGTACTTTGTTACCAAGTCTTTTGTACCGGGGTGTTAATGTGATCTAATGAACACATTTAGTGTATGGCCAGTGTTTCTTTTCTTTCTTTCTTTTTTTGGTACCAGGGGTTGAACCCAGGGGTGCTAACCACTGCCTAACACCCTGCATCCCTTTTTATATTTTATTTTGAAACAGGGTCTTGCCAAGTTGCTCAGGACTTTGCTAAGTTGCTGAGGCTAGTTTTGAACTCAGGATTCTTCTGCCCAAGCCCCTGGGATTGCCTGGCTCCAGTGTCTCTCTATAACACGCTGCTTCACGGAGCACTCTGGTCTGAGGGTCTTCCTGGGGAAGTGGGATTGCTGGCTTGGGGTGTCCAGCCTTACAGGTCTGTTTCCTCCCAGGGTGTCTGTACAACTTTAGAATCAGTTTGAGAACTTCCATGTCTCTTCCATGATATTTTTAAAAAGTCTTAAATTTTTTCCCACTTGTGTCAAACTGGTATCTCATTATTTTAATTCCTTCTGTGAGTGTTGTTTTATATGTACCTTGACAATTCACGTTTTCTCTCTGGCTTATAACCTTTGCCATATGTTATAAACATGAGTTCCTTAGAGATCTTAGGATTTTTTTTTTTAAAAAAACATTTTTAATTGTAGTTGGACACAACACCTTTATTTATTTATTTTTATGTGGTGCTGAGGATTGAACCCAGTGCCTCCATGTACCAGGCAAGCGCTCTAGCACTGGGATACAACCCCAGCCCTTGACATCTTAGGAATTTTTACAAGGAAAAAATTTGAACAATCCTTTGTCTCTCCTATGTGTAAATATTTTCCTCCTTCAAATATTCAAGATAATTTAAAACATAAATCAATTTTAATAGACAATGCACCCTATGTACAGAGTAAAAATTTAAGAGGTGCAAAAAGATGTGAATAAGAGTCCTTCTCCTCCTGTTCCTGCTGCTGAGCACCCAGCTCTCCTCCAGGAAGCAGTAACCTGTGCCCTGAGCCATCTTGCGAGTGGCCCTCGGGGCACATGGGCTGCCTTTCCTGACAGCCCACGGAAGACCGCTCTGCATGGTTGCTTTGTTTCACTGTCCAGTGTGCCTGGGAGACCCCCCTCCAGCAGAGCCCACCAGAGCCCTCCTGGGCCATCCCCTGGGCCATTGCAAAGGCTTCTGGTCTCCCTGCTCAGCCCTCCTGCTTCAGTCTTAGCACAGCAACCACAGTGACATTTTTTAAAAAGCATTTTGGTTACATAAGATTGTATTTTTTAAAATTTTTTATTCTGCTTAGTTGTACATGGCAGCAGAATGCATTTCAATTCATCGTACGCAAATGGAGCACAGCCTTTCAGTACTCTGGTTGTACACGATGTCGAGACACACCATTCATGCAATCATACATGTACTTAGGATAATGATGTGCATCTCATCCCACCATCTTTCCTATCCATGTGACCCCTCTCCACCCTCCCCTTTGCCCAATCCAACGTCCCTGCATTCTTCCTGTGTCCTCCCCCCATCATAGCTCAGGATCCACTAATTAGAGAAAACATTCGACCTTTAGTTTTTGGGGATTGGCTTACTTTGCTTAGCATAATATTCTCCAACTCCATCCATTTACCTGCAAATGCCATGATTTTATTCTCTCTTTTAAAAATTATTTTCTAAATATTGATAGACCTTCATTTTATTCATTTATTTATACGTGGTGCTGAGAATTGAACCCAGTGCCTCACACATGCTTGGCAAGTGCACTACCACTGAGCCACAGCCCAGCCCTTTATTCTCTTTTAATGCTGATTAATATTCCATTGTGTATATACCACAGTTTCTTTATCCACCCATCTATTGATGGGCATCCAGGTTGGTTCCACAGTTTAGCTATTGTGAATTCAGCTGCTATAAACATTGGTGTGGCTGAGTCACGATAGTATGCTGATATTAAGTCCTTTGGGTATAGACTCTGGAGTGAGATAGCTGGGTCAAATGGTGGTTCTAATCCAAGTTTTCTGAGGCATCACCATAGGTTGCACCATTTTGCAGTCCCACCAGCAATGTCTGAGTGTGCCTTTTCCCAAAACATCCTCACCAACACTCCACAGTGACACTTTTAAAATACAAAAATAGCATCGCTCGGCACCAGCACTCCAATCCCCAGCGGTTCATCAGCCCGGCGGGGTCCAGGCTCTGCCTGCCCATCTGCCTTCACTCCCTCCCTTTCTCCCAGGTCTGCCCTGCTCTCCTCCCAGCTCCTGGGTCCCTGATCCCTCTCTGTCGTGTCCTCCCTGAGTTACCCTGACTCCCCATTCAGACCTGCTCCAACGTCGGTCCTGTGGCTTGTGCACCTCACTGGCTGCTGTCTGCTCCCTCGACCTCGCGGGCCCCCCGAGCATGGGTTCTTGTCCTGTGGTCTGTCTCCAGGCCTGAGAGAGCCTGGTACCAAAGGACACTTAGTAAGTGGACGATGGGAAACGATGCTCGGCTGCTTTTTACTGACTGCAGTCTTTTCTTTCCCTTCCTTCCTGACTTTGTTTCTTTCCTTTCTTCCTTCCATCTTCCCCTCCCAGGCTGGTCCTGAACTCCTGGACTAAAGTGATCTACTGCCTCAGTCTTCCGAGGACCATGAACCACAGCCTGGGCCCCCGTGGCATTATGGTTCCAACATATTCATATTAAAAATGATGCAACAGTGAGTATCTTTGAATATACAGCAGCCTACATTCATCAGAGTAGAATTTGAGGGCTATATTTTGAGATGCATGCTTTCTGAATTGAAGGGTTTGTATTTTGCAAGTTTGATAGACATTGCTGAAGGGTTATCCATAGAGGTTGTATCAGTGAATGTCCATTGCCACTTTGGTGGAAGAATAATGACCGCATTGATTTTTTTAAGGTGCTGGGGATTAAACCCAGGGGTGCTCCACCACTGAGCTACAATCTCTGCCCCCAGAATTTTCTCAGATTTTGAGATGGGATCTTGAAGTTTCTGAGGCTGGTCTCAAACTTGTAGTCCTCTGCCTCAGCTCCCAGTGGCTGGATCGGCCCGACCGATCTCTTTAAAAATTTAATTGTCATATTTCTTAACAAAAGTGGAGTTAATCATAAATGTGTTTAGGAGCCATTTCCATTTCTTTTCTCGAAATTTCTGTTCATATTCTTTCTCCACCTGTCTGTGGAATACAGCAGTCTTTCTTAACAGTAGTTCTTTGTGCTGAGGAAATCAGCTCTTATTCATGAAATGTTACAAATATTGTTTCCCCAGTTGACTTTTATTTATTTTCATTTTTGCCATGGAGAACTTCAAGTTTTCTTCCACGTAGTCAAAATGACAGTCTTCTGTGATATCTAAGTTTTGTCATATTTTGAAGACCTTCCCCACGCAAAGATTTTTTTAAAGTCTCTTTCGTTGTTTTCTTCTTCTGTGGTTTCATTTTTTAACAAATGCTTACTCTTTGACTTTCTGTCTTTTAATTTTGATGTATAGAAAATCAGGCTCAACTGATAACTACCCAATGCCAATAGAATATTAAAAATCATGTGTTTTCTCAACCAATTTGCTTTGTGTGTGTGTGTGTGTGTGTGTGTGTGTGTCTGGTCTTTCCATCCTTTCCCATGTGGACGAGCGACAGTACTGTGCTGCTTCACATGAATACAGCCAGGAACAGCTAGATGTCAGGTAGGTCTTACCATTCCCTGTTGGCAGGACTCTTCATTTTAATGAGTCGTCTCTAACTTCCTCAAA